CTCTCTCTCTCTCTCTCTCTCTCTCTCTCTCTCTCTCTCTCTCTCTCTCTCTCTCTCTCTCTCTCTCTCTCTCTCTCTCTCCCCATCCCCCTCATGTGCGCGCGTGTGCGGATTGACATTTGCATCTGACGGATCCTTAGTCCGTACTCGCACCGAGATTTGTTTTCAATGTATCCGTCTGTCGTGGTGTATCTTCCTATGTTCTTGCGGAAATTTCCTTCCCACTTCGCAAATTGGCAGGCTGCTCAGTTGATGCACACATGAAACTGTTGAACTGCACACGTGAGTTTGAATCGAGCGGCGACCACAGTTTTGAACAATGGCAACGTTTCCTGATGTCCCTCGGGACCAGCCGCAGTGCTGAATGAACAGCAGATACCACTGCCTCTCTAATTCGTACTTGACAATTGTGTGGAGCACTGTTAAACCCACCAGTAGGTTCCCCCGCTTGAAAAACAAATGCACGGCGGTTAACACAGGCGATTATCAGGGCCAGGACACCGTCGATAAATTTCAGCGGCGGCCCCTTTTACCCCGTGTAAATGGGAAAGGTGAGGGTGGTTTAAAGAGTTCAGAGCATGAAATTGGAAGGACAAAGGCCCTGATAGTGCAGGAAGAGGGAAGGAGAAAGGAAGACAGATGGAGGAAGGAGAAAGGGCATGTGCGCTCATGGCGTGCAAACCTTCTCTCTCTCTCTCTCTCTCTCTCTCTCTCTCTCTCTCTCTCTGTGTCTGTGTGTCTGTGTGTGTGTGTGTCAATCCTGCTCGCTGCCTCATGAACTTAGTGAGGTGGCTCCATATGGCGGCGGCCTTATCCAGTGGCAAGCGCCACTGATTTTTCTTAGTTTCTGCGCAGAGCCCACTTGTGCAGCGGGCTCAAATGGTCAGATTCAGGGGCCTATCTGAATCAGGCCCTGCACTCCAAAAAATGGTGACGCGATCTTTTTTGGGGGAGGCGGGACTTCTTCTTCTCGATGTGCGTGGTCCTGATCTTGGAAGTGCATCTGCAGATTGCATGGGGGACGGTCTGGATCGATGCTATGGAATGACCGCACAGTCTTGTGGACTTCTTTTGGCGTGGGTAGGTGGGGAAAGCTGGGGGCCCAGGTGGGGTTTTACGAAGGGGGGGATGGGGGGGAGGGCGTATTCTTATGTGCCATGAGGGTAGCACGGGGTCTGGGCTCTTAGGTTCACAATTCTGAGAGGTCACCGACTATAGACAAAGGGTCAAACCGCTTGTGTGTGGCATAGCTGGACATGCATATACACTGCATGTATGACCAAGTTCATGCAACCAAACTTCGCCCAGAGTACAAGATTTTTTAAGTCGTCTTCAATGGCTTGTTCGTGAAAGGGGATGCCATGATACCTCAAAACCAAAACCGGGTAATGGTCCTAATGGTCCCAAATGGTCCCAATGGTCCCAAATGGTCCCAACGGTCCTAGGTTGCTGTGAGTAAAATGCGAAGAGCCCCCCAGCCGCGAGTGACTTGACTTGAATTGTGTTTACTTTGTGTACTAAAATCTACTGAAATCTTCCGTTTTTGCCGGAAGAGAAAAAAAGAGAAAGATCCGCCATCTGAAACACACCTCACAAACCAACTGGCCTACCTTCTTCCCCCGAACATAACGCATATGCGTTGTAAACGAATACAACACATAGGGTGCGTTCTATTTGAATACAACGCATAGGGTGCGTTCTGTTCGAACACAACGCATATGCGCTCTATTCAAATAGTCCCAAAATTTCAAATACAACGCATATGCGCTCTATTCGGATAGCCCTAAATTTCAAATAGAACGCATATGCGTTCTATGCGAATTTGTTTTCAAATTCGAAAACTCGAATACAACGCATATGCGTTATGTATGGGGGAAGAAGGTACCTCAGTTGGTACACCCATGAACTGTTGAAACACATGTCTGAGCTCAAACTCCAGCGAAAGCATCAAAGGAAACACACCTCACATCTGGTAGCTGGGAACTTACCTCCTAGCCACGAACGATGCTGGCCATTATTCCTTCTGTCCGATCAGTGGAGACCGCTGCTGCTAAATTATAACCCGAGAACTAACCCCCCTCCTTCTCCTGTTCCTTAAAATATACCCCCCTTATCCAATTCCACCCTTCCCCCCCCCAAACCCTAAACCCAGACTTCCCCCCGTTTTGTCTGCTGCTAAATTATCCCCCTAGAACTTTCGCCTGCTGCTAAACTACAGCCCTAGAACTTTCGTCTGCTGCTAAATTACCGCCCTAGAACTTTCCTCTGCTGCTAAACTACAGCACTAGAACTACACCTCTCCTTCTCCTGTTCCTTAACATATGCCCATCTTATCCAATTCTGCCCTATCCCCCCCAAAAGATAACCCTGACCCCATTCTGAACCCAAAAAGGATAACCCTTACCCCCCTCCCCCCTCCCCCCTCCCCCTTCCCACCTGCTTCCCGCTCCTTACAATTTCCCTGCACCATTTGGAACCCCTGGTTTGCCGGCTGGGCCCGGAACAGGGGCAAAGCCATTAGCTCCTGCCTTATTAGCTCCTGCCTTTTTGCCCCTGTTTCACAAACATGGTGGGGACCACTCAGAAATGCCCCCTTATTGCTCAGACACAGCAATTTGCCATGTTTGTGAAACGGGCAAAAAGGCAGGAGAGGCGGTTAATGGAAGGCGCAAAATTCGGCGAATTTTGGCTTGTAGCGACGCGGCGAAAACCCCCGAATTTTTGGCCTTCCATTAACCGCTAGTGTGTAAGGAGAGGGAAGCAGGGGCAAAAAGGCAGGAGCTGGTAAGGCAGGAGCTAATAAGGCAGGAGCTAATAAGGCACAGCCCCAGGCACTGTAGCCATTTTCTTAACTCGAGGCGCTGTAGAAGGACCAGTTAAGAAAAAAAATGTGTGAGAAATTAAGAATACCTTTGCCCCCTGTTCCAGAGACAATGTTCCTGACCAGTCAGAAATGAGAAATGCTTGCCCAGACACAGCCCGAGGCGCTGTAGAAGGACGGGGTAAACATCATCTTGGACCAGTTAAGAAAAATTTGGTGTTAGAATAATCTTCCAACAGGGGGTTGAACCCCGACACCGTCTCTGTCTGCTTCAGGTCTGCGAAACACTCCATAAAATTGCTTGGCGACACCTGATCCACAAACAATCATGTGGCTGACAATAGTCAGGAGCTACCATAGATTACCACAACAAGCACGCCACTTAACCATCATCGACATGGACGCACATCCGCAATCGAGTGTGAAGGCAAAGGCACACCCTCAAGCACGCATACACGCACAATTGCCCGTGCACGCGCACACACAAGCAAACATGCACAATTGCGCGCGCACACACACACACACACACACACACACACACACACACACATGTATGATTACAGAGTTCTCGCGACTAACTTTCCAGGAGGTTGTGAGTCCTTAATACTCCTTATCAAACCATCACAAACACACGCACACATCTGCAATCTAGCGCAAAGGCACCAACACACACACAGACATACATACATGCACAAGTGCACACAAACACACACACACACACACACACACACACACACAGAGAGAGAGAGAGAGAGAGAGAGAGAGAGAGAGAGAGAGAGAGAGAGAGAGAGAGANAGAGAGAGAGAGAGAGAGAGAGAGAGAGAGAGAGAGAGAGAGAGAGAGAGAGAGAGAGAGAGAGAGAGAGAGAGAGAGAGAGAGATTTGCATCCTCACCGTTGCCGACCATCGAAATGGGTGCACGCGATCATCCGCAGGTTTTACTGACGAGGACTGCAAACTGCTCACTGCTGCACCCGTGGTGTTGTCCTTGCCTGATCTTGACATCCTCTCCTTCTGTGTCGCCAGGACTGCTGCCCGGTCAATCTTCTCCAGTAGAGAGAAATCAGTAGGAAAGAAGATATCCGCCGAACCCTGAGAAGAAAGATAGCAACACAGGCCGAAATCGAAAGGAGACACAAACATTGAAAATGAAGGAAAATGAGCGATAAAAGGAATAATGATGGCCCCTGCGCAAGGATGACATGCATAAATCGAGAAATGATCCAAATTTAGAAAAAACAAAAAAAAATAACAAAGAGAAAAGAACAAGGGTAACCGAATGCACAATAAGATGACAAAGCAGTTCGACAAACAAAACTTGGGGCAAAACAAACAAACAAGCAAAAATCAGACGAACTGACGCCCCCCCAGAATAGAAGAGGCCGGGTTAAAAATAATAATAATAATAATATATTTTATATATTAATAATAAAATAATTTTAGGCTACCAGCCGGGCAGCCCGGATCACCTTTTTGCTTTCCTTCAAACACTGGGAATCATGAAGCGCTGCAAAACCGCGAAAGTTTTCTTTTAAATTTGAATTAAATTCCCCCCTTTCTTTTTGCTTTCCTCCCGCTCTCCCTCGCCAAGTCGCCGTTGCCTCCACCCTCGTCCTGGATTTCCAAAAATGGATGAATGCATCGATGTAAGGGTGTAATCACTTAACACATCTCACAATAGGGGTTTCAAAAGATGCATCTGTGCAAGGAATATGAGCAAGAGTGATATACAGAAAAGTCTGAAAAACCAAGTGGCGAAATCACACAGATGTCCAAGTAGTCGTGTACGAGCAGAGAGTGCAAATGCACCGAGATTCCATCCAGATGAGAGCAACACAATAAACTCACGAGCCAATGTCCGAAGCTCTCAAGCCACACCAACACCGTATCCAATGTCGATCCTACTCTGTCTGGCGCCCAGCGCCCAGCCTACATTACTCGCCTATCCTACTACACCAGCGTTCATGCAACAGGCTCACTTCGACCTTGAAGACCAATGTACATGACGTCAACACCATAGCTGACCTCCCTCATGCACCAGGTATGTATCTTGTCTCTCATCATCACCCCTGACTTCCCACAGTGTGCATCCTCAACACCCAAAGACCACCATCGCCATCCAGTCCTGCGCCCAGCAACCTGGCTATGACTGCCGTGCGCCCACTGCCCAGCAGTGCACCTCACACCCCAGCGCCCGTGTGTGCGACCCAGCCGGCAGCTTCGTGCAGATCACGAAATTGCAACGCCGCAGCGTGGCCGCATTAATGCCCTGCCCAGCGATGCTCACTTTCCTATATGGAAAGTGAGCTCAGCCTCTGCTGCCTCTGGGCCCGGCTGGGCGAGCATCCAGTAGCTTCCAGTCGGGTCTCAGTTCCTGCGTCCAGGCCCAGTTGCAGTTACGGGCCTGAGCCGTTGACTGTTGGGGCACGTCCTGGCAGTCCACGGGCCTCCACATGTTCGCTGTGATCTCATTGGCTCACGGCCACTTTGCGCCGACAATCCTGCAATCTCATTGGTCCGCGGCTGTTGTATGATGTGTCGGCCTCTGAAAGCACACGCCCAGGGCCTTAACTGTACGGGGCCCTGGGCTCAACTGCCCGTCGAGGCTGTAACTTCCGGAAAGAGCCTGGAGAGGCCCACGTTGCTCTGTAACCAACGGGCATGCTGCAACTGTCTGATACTCACATATGGAAAAAATGTCAAATCTTGGCCTCTTGTGAATATTCAGGCCCGCCTTCACTTAGGGCGGGCACAGGGCTTGCTGAGGGCCGCTGCCCAGAACACGTGCATGTCTGTTAAGGGCCCCGCGGGGCCTGATTCCCCGCACATATATGACCCCCTTAGGGTGATCACACTGGCCTGTACCCAGGCCTTGGCACATATTGGCAGGCCCGCCTTCACTTAGGGCGGGCAAGGCCTTTCCCAGCACTGCCGAGGGGACAAATCCTCGCATCTGGGTGTAATCACGGACACATTCAGTGCAAGAAGTGCAGATGCACGGACATATTTTTTAACAACCTGGGGCCGAGGCATGAGCATTCACAGAGAATCCTCACACTTGGCATTTCTGAACTGAATCTGGCCAAAATATCAGCCAGATACAGCAGGAAAAAATGTCAAGGTCTACAAGTATTTACCTTGGGTACAAGGTACGTTGAATGATCCACTGTCACCCCTGCATTCTGTCACAGGCCAGCCAATTCAGGAAACAAAAAAAAAAAAAATATATCAAATTAAAACATGAAGTTACATAGCTAAAACAATAAAACAAAAACACTTAATAATAACTTAATAACTAATAATAAGTTAATATGATGAAAAAAAAAAAAAATCACATTAGCAGAAATGCAAACATACTGAACATAGGTGTTTTCTTTCCTCCCCCCCCCCTCTTTTCTTTCCCCACGCCAGTTAAACATAGAATCGTAGATTAAAAAAAAAGGGAGAATTGTCCCAAAAAAAAAAAAGGACAGGAACTCGCGATGTCGGCGAATTCCCAGCACCATTGCAATACCCATGAAGACCAACAAATGCAAAAAAAAAAAAACAAACAAACAAAAAAAAAAAAACACACACTTGAAATTCTCAATAACCGATGACCGTCCTCCAAGACACCGTTACGATCGGAACAATACAGAGAAGATTCGTATGCCCCCTGCGCTTTCAAGGATACGACGGGCATGAATCGAGAAATGGCTCAGTTGCTTCTTCCGGCGGCGGCCGCACAACCTGCGCATGGATACATACCCGGCTGCCCAGCTGGGCATGACCCCCGGACAGGATTCCAGGCAAGGCAGCACCATCGCATGCCCGTGCACAAAAGAAAAGAGAAAAAAAAAAAAAAAAACTGGGGAAAAAAAAATGTCGTGTAAAATTGCGATGGAAAGTCACAAAGCACTTCTGGCTTAGCATCACATCAGAATTGCACAACAAAATGAAGATAGAAAAGAAAAGAAAAGAAAAGAAAAGAAAAGAATGGAATCAGACAAAGGCAGCCGCCTTTAAACTGCTAGTACACGGCCCCAGCCTTGCAGAAAGGGAACTCGTTGGGTACTTCAAAACTTTCCAGACCGGGCCGCCGTTGAAAAAAAAATCATCAATGGCCTTGGTCACGTTTCCGGCCTGTGACAGGAAGTGGGGCCTGCAGTCGATGCAGGCTGATCAGACAGAGGGAGGGCACCCCGATGGGAAAATCGAGTAGCCCCCCAATTGCCTGTGCAATGTGCATCCTTTTTTTTTTTCTTTTTTTTTTTTTTTGTGCCTTCTGCGAGCCAAAGTTTCTGACGAGTCTAGGGAAAGATGTGAAGTTGGTCAAGCAGATTACAAAAGTTGACGATGTTTCATTGTTAGTGTGGTCTGGATGGAAACAGAATGAGAAAGGGAAGGCAAAAATGGTGATAAGGAAGTTGTGAAGATTCATACGATGAAAATCTAACGCCAAAAAGAACGGATGGTGGGATGACGGAGTGGGATTTCCTAGGTTGTCGTGTGAGTATCAAGGGAGAAAAAAAAAAGAGAGTTGGATGTTGGCACCGAGCGAAGAACTTCGCTGAAATCGGGGACGAAAACGATCAGTTGAAGTATAGGATAGGTGCTTCCGGGGGCTTTTCCTCTTACACCGGCGTGAAACAGAAGCGAAGGCTAATTAACGGGACGCTGCACAAAATCAAGGAGACCACCACTTCTGTTGACACGGTAGGGTAGGGGAAGGGAATGTCTACTCACGCTCAATCGCGGCTTAAGACGGCAGTCCTCCCCAGACGAGATCTTCCGGAGAGTTCTGCGTAGATTTGCCAGAACACTACTTCCGGAGAGTTCTGCGTAGATTTGCCAGAACACCGGAGAGTTCTGCGACCACCACTTCTGTTGGCAGGGTAGGGGAGGGGAATGCCTACTCACGCTGAATCGCGGACCCGGAGTGGGGGCGGGTCACAAGGAGCCTTTTGTGGAATCGATGAAGGGACCATTGGAAATATATCCGGTAGTTCCCTCAATCGAGGGCCGGTTTGTCTGCGGCCGTTTGTTTTTTTCTGTTTTTTTCTGTTTTTTTTCTGTTTTTTTTGTTTTATGTCCTTCCGATTGTCCTTCTTCGGGTCAGCTAAGGGGTAGTAGGGCGACCAAGGGGTACCATGGTACCGGGGCCTTCAAAATTGTGCAGGTAGGACCAGTTGAAAATGGGACAGCCCAGTTATATGGCAGTTAAGAGTTTCAGCTACTATTAATAGGAATAGGACAACGGGTTTTTCAAACTTTTTCCTCTTTTGCAGTGAGCTCTTAGCGGCCGCCATCAACCGACGACACTTCGCATGGTTGTCCGCCGACAGCCCTGGTTTGTGTCAGAGAGAAAGGTGGTTCCAAGGGTGAGCTGGTCAGATGGCGGCAATCATTAACTGGCGGCAGATGTTATGATGTTAATTCTCTGTCCTTCGGGACATCCGTTAAAATTGGAACGGTACAGAGAAGATTAGCATTAAAAAAAATAAGAAAAAATGATGTTAATTCTTCCAAGGAATCCCGCCAAACGGGCTTGCTGTTTGTGGTTACTAACTGACTATCTGTTTGTCTATGTCCATCTTGTATGAACACACTCGCTGCGGCTAAAAATAGTGTCGACATTGCTGTTTGTTTACGGAAGGAAGAAACTCGCTTCAATTGATGAATTGTTTATTTAATATTTAGACGCAAATGAATTGTTATGTACTGATGGGTTCCCTAACTTTTCTTCTGGGCTGTATATAGGGGTACCATGTATTCAATATTCAAAACACAGAAGACGAAGAATAGGCAGAATGTTTCTCTTCTGGTCTTTTTTTAACTCCACCAGACATTTGGTTAGTTCACCTAAGTTACTGTATTGTAAATGGGCAGTATGTTTCTCTTTGTCTTGGTCTAAGCATTCCCTTACCGACATTGACTTAAATGAGGAGTAACAGAGGAGGCAGCACGAGACGGTGGAGAAGGAGGACAGGGGACGGTGTGGAAGGAGAAGACAGGAGAAAGAAAAAAGGGACAAGGACAGGGGGGGAGCAGGAGGAGGAGACGAGAGGAAGAGAGAAAATGAGGAGGACAGGTGGGAAACGGGAGGAAGATATGAGAGGAAGGTAGAAAAGGAGATGGAGGATACAGGGAGGGAGGAGGAGGAGGAGGAAGAGGAGAAGAAGAAGAAGAAGAAGAAGAAGAAGAAGAAGAAGAAGAAGAAGAAGAAGAAGAAGAAGAAGAAGAAGAAGAGGAGGAGGAGACGAAGAAGAAGAAGGAGGAGGAGGAGGAG